GACAGTGTGCTTTCAAGATTCCGTGACACTGTCGTCAGCGAGGCATTCAACGAGCACCGGAAGGGGAGGAAGCGTCTGTGATTGTCCCACTGGGACCCAGAGAAGAGCCCTGTAACAGAGCGGTCGAGGCTCGAAAGTTACAGGGACCCTTGTAAAACGCGAAAACAAGACGGTAGCCGCATAGCGGCTCATCTTCAGTTAAGCTATCCCTCCTTTCCCCGGTTTTTACGACTTTTGACTACCGTGACGGTGTATAATAACAAGCCGGCCGTTGTTCCGGATCGTGTTCCCGACCGATCAACGAAAGGGATGAACAGAAGGAGGATCGTCGTTTTACAGCCGTTAAGCGCGATAGCTGCCTAATAAAAATCCCATCTTGTTTTCAACCCTTCCGACCGAGTAAATGGCGCATTTAATTGCCCTCGGGTTCATTTTTTTCCATTGCACGGCGGACTTTGCTGATCCACTGGGAAACATTCGACTGATTTCTGATAGGCACCAGGGGCGGGAAGTTTGCTTGACAGTTCGAGAAGACTGTTTGATAAGTTCGCTTAAGGATTTCGGTTGATTTAATCGTTCTGGGCTCAAGGTGTTTATTAGAATTAGAGTTGAAGAGTGATTATGTTACTTTATGAGAGTAACCCTTTGCCCTGTGGTCTCCTTTGTAACTGCACCCGTTAGGACTATTTTACGGTTGATTTACTAGGAAAAGAAAGAAAGAAATTTCTTTTAATTTTTTACCAAGAATTCCATATTATATTATAAGGTTGGAGGTTAATTCTAGGTAACACTATTTGACAACATATTTGGAGAGTAATAGGGATAACCAAGGAATGTTCAGATTTTCCGTTTTGTATAACATCTTGTTTGAAATAATTAGAACAGAGGAACTATTATATCGTAATGATTATAATATCTAAAATATTTGCGCAACATATGTTTGCCTATAAAGGAATTACTATTTTATTGAATATTCTCTTTTTTAGTGTTTAAGTGGGGTATAAATTTCATTTTATAAACAATACAGTTGAATTAATTGGCTGTTGTTTCTATACTAGTGGTCTTAAATATTGAAATTTAATTTCCTCAATGAAGCTATGATATTTCGTTACATCGAATGATATTTGTTCGAATATTTAACTTCATAAGTTAATATGATTAATTATTGATCTCCTTGAATCCAAATATTCATATAAGTACGATAGATTACGCAACGCGAGTCGATGGTGTACTGAATGTGAAAATATTCTGTTTTATGTGTGTCAAGGTGCCCGCTAGACACTGTTCAAGGTTTGATTTGGATTGCACAATGCTATGTAGAATTTTTATTTATGTATTTACGGTCTTATAATTTGCACTTTGGCAGGTTTCTACGAACAATAATTTAAGTACAGTCCATTTCAAACTGAAGTATTTACTTATTTTCATATTTGTATGGTAATATAAAAGAATGTAACAATAATTAATACCAGCCTAATATATTATATATAACTTAATATTTATTCATAATAAAATTAAACCCTTTTCATTTATAATATTCACGGTTCTCAACATTACGCAACATTTTGCTAAGAACAGTGCTGAAAATTAGTTAGAAACAACACATTACTAACAAATTCTATTACAAATTACTAACTGCTACATATCCAGCCATAAAAATATTTCAATTTGTATTCTTCAATATTTTCTTTTATAAGTTTCTTTTAAATTAACTTACAATAAAGAAAACTTCAACTATAAATCACGAAAACATAATGAATATTAATGATCTAGAATTTCAATTTCCAATAGAATCCACAATAAATAAAATATTAATTACCTTTCCGACAGTACCACAAACGAATCCAATAAACAGTTCCAATAATTAAATAACACCCCACGATACGTTTCTATTTTCCCAAATCCCAGCGCATCGATTCGCAATTAACTCAGACCGCTAATAAATCAAATTGAACACGGAGACAAAATTTGTATGAGAGTATCCCATTATCCAAAACGTCAACCTGTTAAAATATTTGTATAACGAAATATTTCCCCATATAAGGAAGACAACGCCAAGGGGCATGTCGACATTTTCATAGAAATTTTGAAAAGTAATATATCGTCGTACATTGGAAACATTTGATTTATATATTCTCTAAATATGTCACAAAATAGCAAAATATATAATTAACAAGTGAGAAACGATCCTTTATCACTTGAGAAGTAATAAAACTTAATTCGCCGGTTAACAGATTTTTCATCCGAACACTTTCGTCTACCCGTTGTCTCGCTCGCAAGCAGTTCCAAAGTAAAAAATCAGAATTAATGTATTATTTCGACGATGATTCCATCCTGTTCAATGGAAAACGCATTTGCATGGTCGCGCCCCTTCCTCTGCGGCGGCGGTGGAATGGCGTGGCGTGGCGTGGCGTGGCGTGGCGGGAAATCGCGACGATTGAAATTTCGATGGAGCGCGGCGCGGCGCGGCGATGGGAGCCGATTCGCTGGTTAACAAAAGGTTAATGACCGGGGACCGACCGCCGCCGGAGAGACGATGGGGGTGGGGGGCACGGTTTCGAATAATGCGGATTACGCTCGCCATTGGTCGGCGTTTAATGTTTAAAATGTAAAACCGGAATCGGTGGGCCGTCCACGGGGCGTGGTTAATGTTACGTCGACATTCACCCAGATACATTCGCTGGCTTGTCAGCAAACATAGGCATGATAGCGTTTGAATAATGTATGCCCTCGAAGCGGAGGCCGCTTTTGCCGCGCGTTTGCTCTCCGGCGACAACGCGGCCGCGTCGCCACGCCTCTCGTTCCTGCGAATCGTCTTTCTCCTTTCATTTTTTATTTAATACACACGCGTGCGCACAATTTGCGGGTATTTAGCGTTTGGATTAACCAGTCAACTGCGTTCGCGGCGTGTACACGCCATCTTGAAACTCGAAGCGATACGAATTCTTTCGACGATGAATTATTTATTTCTCCAGATAAACCTGTAACTCTTCTTCGTTTTGCTTCGGTTTTTTGGTAGAATGTATTCGAAAGATTTTTGAAAGTACATTTTATAGTTAATAGGTGAATACTAAAAGTACTAGATCGGTCAAAATGATCCAAATGGAAATTTTTATCTCTATTCTTATCTTTTGGGAAAATTATAAAGCAGGTCTGGGTACATATTTGTATGAGTACGTGAATACGGGCTGCTTAAAATTTTAAGGAATACAATTTTTGAATTTTTTTAAGACATTATGAATAATCACTCTAGTTGTTTAGCAGTTCTAGTGTTAAATCTTTGCGCGAAGAATTTACTAGATATTGGTGTAGCTTCTTGTTTTGCACGAGTGAAAATTAATAAAAATCTCTAATAGTTTCACATCGTAACACATTTCCTCCATGCTATAACACTAATATTACATTCCAATTTTTCCATTTACATAAAATTGTTACACCAGAAAATTTTTACTTATGATCACGATAACAACATATTACTTATACATACAGTAACATATTAGTTTAAATGATATGTATTAAGATTTATATAGAGCAGTATTAAACGGAGTCTTACTGTACTCAAATTATGGTGATTCTCCAATAGTAAACAAAAAAATTAGTTGAATTTACAGTCGGATAAATCTACATTCGGAATCGATTAACCTACATGAACTGTTAGCCCAGGAACGAAGAGGAACGGTCACCCAGGGGTGCTACGTACTCTAGGTCAATAGCTGAAACACGATTCCGGCGGAGCAGTTAATTCGTTGCCGGCATATCAAGTGCCGTGAGTCCTTGCAAAAGGATTACGCGAAACGAATACCTTAAGGAACCGGCGAATATAATTGAATTTCGGGCAGGAACCGTATCGTATTCCTATTCCGTGCGCGGCAACGGCAACATGCTTCAATTTGTCGTAAACGTGTAAAAGCGTCGACCTCGAAGGAAGAATCTTGTACGGGTTTTCGTGACTGGCTCGGAGTCATCGATGACCTATATTCGTTTACCGGAAGCAACTTGCGTTTCATGCAAATCGTTCGATTTCTAATAAAACCTGTTTACTTCGATATTAACCCTTTGCATTCGGAAGCTTTTCACTAGAAATATTCAACATTTTCGGATGGGACATGGGCGACATTCTTTGAAACTAACTTCACCTGTTAATTGTGGAATTTAGTTTCAAGATTCTCTCGTTTTGCGCGGAATAAAATTGAAACATGAAGTGCACGCTCATCAAACGCAGGACGAATGCGTATAGGATATATTTTAATGAAAAACCAAAGCAAACGGAAGGAGAATGAGATGTTTATCTGAAAAAAGTAAGAAATTCGTCGCTGAAAGGATTGGTATCATTTTAAGCTTTAAAATGACGTGTATACTCGTCAAATGCAGCTAACTGGTTAATGAGAAAACATGCATAAATTAAGAAATAAAGCTATTTTATATGAATACTTCACATATCGATGCATTATACAGAACTGAATGTTATATATAAAACTTTGTAAGTTTGTTATATCAAATCGAGTGGTGACAGAGTCGACACTCAGGGGCAGAAGGCTGACCTTCTCATGCACAGTTTTCTTCAATTTTGTTTTTCCATACGTAAGAATGAATATTTAGATTCGTCTAAATTTAATTGAGTTATTAATTGTGAATATTGTTCCAACTGAAATATCGTTCTAAGAAAACGCAGCAAAAGAAAGTCAGTTTTAAAAGACTGTCTTGATACGAAACCTAAAAATGCAGTAATCTAATAATAAGTAAATATTTCAGTTGACGAATATGAGTTGAACAAAAAATGATAAAATTTCATACCGAAAGATCAAACGCATCGAACATAGAGAAAAATTTGGTTGACGTTGCTCATATCGCTCTAGCGTTCCCTTCGCAATCGACAGCCGCGAATTTCAAATTTCCGACAATAACATAAAAAGAAAAACGAAACGACCAAAAAAAAATTAGATTCGTCCGAGACGTGTGATTTTTGTTGGCCTAACCTTCGACCTCCTCTCTTGTTACAGTATCCTCGAGTTGCGCAAGGAGAAGAGCAGGGACGCTGCCAGATCTCGGCGAGGGAAGGAGAACTTCGAGTTCTACGAGTTAGCGAAAATGCTGCCATTACCGGCGGCTATTACCTCCCAGTTGGACAAAGCCTCCATAATAAGGCTAACCATCTCGTACCTCAAACTTCGGGAGTTCTCGGGTCACGGAGACCCGCCATGGAATCGAGATGGGCCTCCGCCAAATAAATCTGTCAAAGGTAAGCGGTTCGGCTTCGTTAACCTATTGAAACCGTGTATCGCGCGACTTACGAGGAGTTTTCAAAAGTTTTCCCAGCCCGTTAATACGTTGACTGTTACACAAATTTTGTTTGCATTCGTGTACAGTAATTATTTTAAATCGTATACCTCAATGGTTATAAGACTATTATTTACAAATTGTGCGTTCTTGTGGTAACAATATTTCTAGGTTCATTACGAAGATACCTGTAAATCAAAGTATTTATAGTTTAATTATAAACCATTAACAAAATTAAGGCAATTATAAATATCTTAATGCTTGCCGGTGGTAAAGTGCTTAATTTTAAGTGATATTTATTACTGTAAGTAGCAAAGGTAAATATTATTGAGAATAATTATTAATCGTGCTTTGATACAGTTTTTACTTTGTACCATTAGTTGCGTTAGAATACATTTGTATTTAGTGGTCTGAAACATTGAAAATCTTGAAACATGAAATAAAAAGTAATTTACAGTTAGTGAAAGGACATAATGGATAAGCAGCTAGTCAAGAAACAAACGCTGTTACTTTAATATGCCTTGTTCAGTAAGTTTCACAATTGATTATGATCATGGACAACGTATTTCTAAACGTTCAATTATTTCCTTGAAAAGTAAACGTAAGGAAACAAGTAAAGTTGAAGTCGAAAATGTTATTAATCGACGGAAATCGATGTTTGAAAGTCTGAGCTGAATAAAAAAAGCTTTGGGTTGGCAAATCCCCCTTCTATAGTTGTAGCAACGTGGAAACTGAACAGATGATTGGACCCCTGTTTATTAGAAAATGTATCTGCTTGTGATATCTGCTGATGGATCAGTATTTAACCCCGACAGGGGAGTCGAATTGCTGTTGAAGATCGACGACCGTGTTCGCGTGGCGGAACGTGTCGCCAGGGTGAAAGCATCAGAGAAAGTCAAGTTTATTGTAAAACGAAACTGTCATTAACACGCATCGCAAATAGCTTGATAACTAGCATGCGAATTAGACGGGTGCAGTTCGAAACAATGTTTTCTTTGGGATGACAACAAATTGTTGAAACTTCTGAAATTTAATGTCAGCCTATAAGGAAAATTCAATTACTTTACAATTGAACTGTCCTACTTGCAGTATCTACATTTATTTTACACCTTCCTTGCCTCGGATGTTTCAATTGGAAAATTAAATGTTTTCTTCGAATATCGTTCAAATAAAAATAACTACTTCTGTGATATTGAAATAAAACTATGATATTAAGTAGAGTCTCAATGTAAATGATAAGTTAATTATACCACAAAGGAAGTATTTGATAAAAATGATTTTCTTCTTAAAAGAAGTCAGAGATAAAATGTGGAATGCTAAGTATAATAAAATTCAACTTTCAGCGGAATGCAATAAAACTTTTACTTTATTTCGAATTTAATAAAATATTCTTTTGTAGAATAACAGTACCACTATTTTATTCGAAATAATGTCGTCATTGACGATGCGTTTAATGCTGGTCCATTGTTGTTAGATGAGTGGCCATAATTCTATATAAAAATCGGGTCTGAAAGGGTTGAAATCATAGCAACAAGGCCGGTCAACTTTATTCCAATAAAACGATCAAACTACCAGAGTGTGCGCGAGGTAATTTAATAGAAAGAGAAAGGGCAAAGCAATTTCCAGAGTGTTGCAATTTAATAGCGAAACGATGGAAACAAACGCCCTGAATCAGCCGTATCGTTGATTCATCGAGATACGAAGGGTGGCCTCTGAATTTCAATGGGAATTCACGGTACACCGGTATCGAATTAACTGAACAATGGTTGTCCGGCAACGTTCTTAAGAATTCGCGTAAGCAACCCGGCAATAGATCGAGCCTCGCGATACCCTTTATAACTCGGGTGACCACGCAGCCGGCACGAGATTCCCAGATACATAGTAATAGAGAATTGTCGGCTATGATCGAGCGATACCATCGCCATTGGCTTTCTTCATTTTCGTGGTTCATTTAACGAAAATCAGAGGCGGCGATCAAACAGACGAGATCATCCTCTCTGTCTTGACCGGCGGCCACTGAAACATTGGAAGCCTCGTGCGCCCTCGAGGAACACCGGAATTCTCCTACGAAAATAACTGAATTAGGTATGTACAGGAATCCGGTATCGATCATATGCAGTCCTTTCTGGTAATATTAGTTGCAAATATGTTACTTTGTTTATCCAGTTTAACACGTTCGTATCGTACGTAGCTAATTTATATCATTACAGTAAATCAGTTGTTTACTAAATTGTTTGGTAACGTTTACGTACAATCAGCAACTGAAATCAGGAAAGTGGACGTGTAACAAAAGAATGCATTCATCACTTTTGTAAAGATTGTTATTACTACGATCAATGATTATACATGTAGAAACATGCCCCGACGTCAATGTGTTAACTCGATTTTAGAAATCGTATCACAGATGTAGAACTGATCATCTTTATCATATATTTGTGCAACTTAGTACTCTATCGTTTATGTTCGCTATATTATTGGTATACCGGAATTGGTAAAGGGCATATCTGAACAACAATGCGTAGCTCGAAGTTTACTTTATTACAAGTAAAATAAATATGAATCGTGTATATACTTATCGAAACATTAAATTTGATAGAGGCGCAATGGATACTCCCAACATCACAAGTTCCATCGCAAACTTCAAAGTATCATAAAACAAGAATAAGATTGCTCGATTAAAAATACCAGTTACTATTAGTCTCGCAACCATAAATATTTCGTAATAGATAAATATAAAAACAATCGTTAAATTTCCTACACTAACACATATTCAAATAATAAAGAAAATCCCAGAAAATAATGTCTAACTAGACCAAAACATATCAAACATTCGATTCCCAAAATCATCATTTACTAAACCTACTCCCCCTATAGCTCCAAAAAATAGCTGCAATCCCAACCCCCTCACCCTCTGCAATAAAGTGCGCTCACCGGAGGACTGCGGCCAACGGAAATCTTAGGTCCCACGATCTTACAATCGAGAGGAGCGAAAATAAGGCATCCTTCGGTGAATTCACTTATTCATCGGCACTACTTTTGGAATCGAGGGTGGTTTGGTTGAGTTAATATTTGTCGTGGCGCGCGGCTGGTGAGTTAGGGTAAAGAGGAGCGACCGAGGGAGCCGTAGAGACCGAGACATGGAGATACAGAGAGGATTCGGCGCATACATATAAAGCGGCATACATAAAGGCTTAGGTGGCTGCACCGTACCACTACCTACATGGAAATCTAATCACAGCAACCCCTGCGTTGGGCCTCGCGTTACCAACCGCCAATGTAACTAAACTAACGAAATTGAGTTAGGCACCGTCCGCACATCGCCGCCGCAGCTCCTCGTCAAACTGAATCCAGCACCGGCGGACTCACCCTCGCCGCATGTCAGTACCACAAGCGGAACGAGACCTCTCGACTTAACGAAGTAAAATGCGTTAAAGATTTCCAGACACGTCGGTTGATTTATTTTTCTTCGCGGTGCTCTTGACGGGAACTGACGTTGTATTCTGTTCGGCTTTCTTCCCCCTACCCCGACTCCTTCGTTTCGATTTTTCGTTTGAAGAGTCGGAGATTGAGGGTTGGAGTATGATATTTATTAAATGTATATAAACAGTTTGAAGTTCTGGAAAGAAGTAATGGTATCGGAGTACAAATTTCGATTGGTGCAACGTTATTGGCAGTTGTTTCTATTGTAGAGATATTCTTGAATATTCGAACTGATACAATTTCGAACGATTCATAATGTAAATATTTCTATAACGAAAATGGGTCTTTCTTTGTGGGTGATAATGTAACCTCAGTGGATAATATTTTTTTTGTAACGTGTCATTTACGAATGTTCGGTTAGTATGATGATCATCGATACATGAATATTGTCTATATATTTTTTAATACGTTCTATGAATTTTCTCTTGTTTAATGCAATAATATAAACAAAATCTGAATGTTCTGATAGATACCCTTTTAATTTATTGTATACGTAGAAGATTATGAATAACAGTTATACCATCGAAAGTTATTCGAAAATATTACTTGATAATTTTGTGGTTTTCTTGGTGTTAAAAATGTACCAAAAGCATTATTAATAATTAAGATTACGTCACAGTAAGGATTGACCTATTAATCGTTTATTAATTATTATTTAAATATTTAAAATTCTGAAAATAGTAGATTTATTTGATTACGTTCATTTCGTTACCCCGTGCTTATTTGAATCGAGTAAATTAGTTCTAATAGAGAGAATCTTAATGCAAATTACTGTTAGTTCTCATTGCAGTAATAAAATAATGCAGAATACCATAACAATCTCCCACGCGAAACAATTATACGGAAGTGAAGGGACCTTCAAATGGTAATTTCACTTACTAACTCGCCCCCAGCGTCCGCCGTTTCCGCCGAAGTCGCATGGAAATTGGCAAAGCAACCGGAAACGGCGGAATGGCTTCCAAACAGTGCGTCTTTAGGGGCACTAGATTGCGCGGAATGGCTCACGTAATTTTTAATTGATTTTTCATATTTCTTATCGCAATTCTGTCGCTATGCTTTCTCATTTTGTATCCCCTGTCCTCTCTATAAGATAACTTTAGAACGAATTTTCATTCTAAACTAATATCAAGTGAATACTTTAATATAAATAAATATATTTTTCATTCCAGATAAATTAGCTATTTTATTTTTTTAAATAACACTGCATTTTATATACTTTACTTGTAACTAAACTCCTAAAATACTAAATTTTACATGTATAAAGTTTGGAAACCTTTGATGAATCACAGTGGAATATACATGCAATTATACTTAATAAAATTGACAAAGGGTTCATTACATTTATATTACCATCTAAATGTTTTCAATTTTCATGACAGAATTTGACAAATGTTTATGTAACTATTATCAATTGTGTAGAAAATATGAATGTTTTAATATCGATAGCAAGATCATGAATTAAAATTGAGATAGTGAAATTAATTATAGAAAAAAGAAAATAATGTAAAAAAAATATTAGAAAATAGAATACTCTGTTCGAGACAGATCGGAAGACACATTAGCACGTTCGATCTTTCCTAAATTGATCGCGGCAATGGCACAGATATTTTTCCACCTTCCCCAAGGAAATATCCACCGGCTACGGTCCTAGGCATTTCGGTAAAACGTCCCCTTAGTTATTTATCAAAATATTGCGACAACCGGCGGAAAAACAATAATACCGGTAGCTTCGCTTTTTCCCGAAATTAATTTTTATGGTTTCCACTGAGACACATATTTCTTCTTTTTTCGTAACGGTGAAATAAAATCCTTAAATAATACATGACCCTAGAGGAATAGAAGGAAAACATTGATTTGAAAAGTACAACTGTATTTAATAATATTTTCTGGAAATAAGTGGGTATATCAATGCAAACGTTTACTAGAAATGATATTACACGATAATTAAATAATAAATATGATACGTTTAATATGAAATAGTAGTTTACATTTTACGAAAGTAGACCGTGCAGTCTCTGCATTAATAAAATATCAGCTTATCATCTGAATAAAACACTTGATTCCTAAGCCAAAGTTAAGAAATAGACACTCATTGCTCTGTCAAACACAAAGCAACCGGTCCAAAATTCAAACTGACAGGTCGGCAAAGAGTTAATAAAGACGGGACGGTCGGAATTGATTGACGGCCAATGATCGGGGGGGCTGTCTTCAGTTTATTCTGACCGGCCAAGTGAGTCACACTGTTCACCCCGAGAGATAGCCTGCTGACCGTGCCCCCGATCACCCCTTCGCGTCTTCTTTCTCTCCCCTCGTTTAACAAACAAGAAAGGCCGTCTTCTTACCGTAATAATAAACCCACCCTCGCCCGACTACCGTAATGAAAGACTTAGAAGACTCGATCAAACTCGACGCGAACCGCTTAATCTGGTAAGCCCCACGTAGAAACGAGCCGAAGTGTCGGGCTAACTCGCCGGATTGATGAGCCAGGCTGCCTCTGCCTGCCTGCCCACCTTTCGTCGTTCGGTCAACAAGTTAATTCTGATATTTCGGCCGCACGGTCCCGGATCCCCGAATAATCCGGTCGGACTTTCGCCTGTCGGACGCGCGCGTTTCCTCTTGCGAACGACACCGTAGTTCGTTTCGGTTGGGCACGGTGCGTGAATACCGATTAAACTTTTACCGATCGGCCTCTTCCCTTCCCGGGAACGCTGTTCTGTGAAACGCGGAATTCTTTGGTCGTCCGCAACGACATCATGGTCGCCATTAGGGCGACACGATGGAAGATTCCTGCGAACGTTGCGAAACGATCATTTCTTGGCTGCGTTCGGGGCAATGGATGTTTCAGTTATTTGTTGGCCAAGTCGATTAACCAGTTCACTGCTCTCCACGAGTATAAACGTTATCTTAAAATCAAAATGATACTAATTCTTTGGACGTTAAATTATCATTACTTATTTATTTTTTCAAATAAACCTGTAATTCCTCGTTTTGTTGTAGCTTTTCGTTAGAATATATTATAGGTGCATTTGGCCTGCGTTAGACGAGTATACACTTCATTACTTGATTTCATTGCGAGCATTATCAGAGATTTTTAAAATTAAATTCCATGAAAGTAATGAGCTCTAAGAATAAATATTAAATGTTATAATTTCTTAATGCATTCTTATAACAATATGTAAATACAATATATTATCGACCCGTGTAAAATTATGCGCCATTTTACCGGTGCATGATAGAAATAAGATGGAGAAATGTTGAAACTTTGACGTTCATATTTGAAAGGTTGCAACGTAACACAATTTTTTGTATTATAGTATAGGCATTATTCATGAAATGTGAGTGATGTAAAAGTATTTACTCTATACAGAAGAAATATATCATTTTCACGACTCTAAATAAATTAATACAGTTCAGCACTGACTTTTGCCAATCCGTTGTATCCATATATATCAAGAGTATGGTTGTTAAGGATTTAATATTGTTTGTAGATTTGAATATTGTAATTCTTCATTTCTAAATTATGCATGCTTAAACAATGTTATTGGGTCTTCTCTTGAGTAATATATTGTTGTTTTTCTACTATGGATTCTGGTTTATTATGGACGTTAAAAGTCTGCATATTTCAGCAATGTTCGTCTTGAATTTCCAACATCCACTGCCACTTTTTGAAAAGAAAAATAGGAGAACGTGGTTGGAATTTAAATGATGCGACCAATTTATGGAAGTGAATGGTGGATTATTTTTTGAAAAATCTAGTACATTCTTCAACATGAATCTTACAGTAAATATTCTATTTTTTTATCTATTCAATATCGTGAAGTTTGTTGAGCTCTAATGTTTTGCTAACAACAATTGGTATCTTCGAGACAAAGTCAGTTAAATACGTTTCTAACTGAACTTCGCTGACATATTTTATTTTTATATGGCATAAGGCAGGAATGGACAAAAAAAAGGTGTGTCCTTACTTTAGGATATAATAAGTTATGTATGTTATAGGTGCACAAAAACTGCAGTATAATGATAAGTAAATTTTGTTCTATCATTCTTAGAAATATTGATATTCGTCGATTTAGATCTTGGAAATGAAAAGTTTAAAAGTATATAATTAGAATACTTCTTTATGTAATTGCATCAATCAAACTCGACCCACCATTTACTAAATAATGTTTATAAAATTCAATATGAGTCAAATTGACTCGTTCCGTAAATCTAGTGTTAATAACATTACAAATGTACACGTAACGCAGATGTATGTGTGTAGCCAATACTTGCAATAAGAATCAACAAAACAGATAATGAATGACTTGTGCTGTCTTGCAATTCATGGCTTCAATTGTTGATGAATGACACTATTGCAAAAATTATGACATTATTACCAACGATATTATTATTAACAATAAAGAATTTGTGTAGAAGTATCTGATAGAAGACAATGCTTGAACAGATATATGCTTTTGAATATACCGGATATCGTTTTAGACCGTCTTCTCATTTTTTAAACGAGTAAATAATTTGTATTAATTTCAACGGAAAGAAGGCAAAAAGCAAGTAACAGTCAGCGTACAGGCTTTAAAGAATTTTATTTTCAGTTTTAACTGTAGGAGACACACTATCGCGTCTGGATTAAATATTTGTGTGCAGTAATGGTGTAAACATAATATACTTTATTAAATTTATGTAATTTATATGATTTCAGGTGCAAATCGAGTAAGGTCTGCAGCATCCGCCGCTGTGGACCACTTCGAGGTGCATCAAGGCACTCATATACTTCAAGTAAGTATATAATTTTATGTTCAATCACATCAAAAATATCGAATTCAATGCACATTAATCATTTGTACTCGAATAGTATTGTATAATTAAATTAGAAGGTTTAGTTCTCTTAACCTTAGAAAGATCTCACTGTACCGTTTCTATTCATGAAAACAATTAATAAATGTACGAATACTTACTTATTCTGCAAGAAATTTTGAAATGTATTTATAAGAACATTGTACTTATTAAAAAGTTAAGTGCAATAACAGTTTACTTAAAAAAATATTTCTTTATTTAGAATTAAAACTATCAATTCATTGAAAAAGTAGACGGCAAGTGCGAAATTTTCTCGGTTGAAAAAGCTCTGATAATAAATTGATTCAATTAAGAATTTCGTTTCCCCGTTGCTTGGAATTCCCTCGGCTATTACACGATACCTTACTCGCGAGAAAACTTTGCAGCAATACAAATGAAATACCATCTAATTCTATAAGATTGAAAAAAACGGTCAAACTAGAATAATTCGAAAACAGTGAACAATAGAATTAATTTTACCGAAGATCCTAAACAACACAATGTAGCGAATTTTCACAAAATCGTGATCAGAATTAGTATTTTCAATTTTAAGGTAAATTATTAGACATTTTTATTATGCAATGATTCTAACAAAATGACACTTGAATGTTTTAACGTCAAAAATATAATATTTAATTTATAACCCTTATTGTAACCATACACATTGAGAATACTAAACATTTTTGCTTTACATTTATTAATAAAGCGATTATTACTGCTATAACATTAAATAGCCTAATTTAAATTTGAATTAATTAATTAATGCCTTAACCCTCGTATAATCCTTACAAAAAAGAACTGGTTAAATAAATCAACGAGCTCGTCACGTTATCATAAAACAAGGGCTAAATCCACCGTGCCTGTACTGGTACAAGCACATCAGCTACACCGTTAAGACGTTAAATCATTAATCTTAGACTTACAAATCAAAAATTTCTCCTGCAAACCTGAGCACCAGGATTTTCATAAAAATTCGCTACAGTGGCAACGTCCGGGAAACAACAGTGCCGCCTAGTAGTAGACAAGAGACCCCAAAGAACGATGCATGGCCGGAGGCGCGTTGGTCTCGGAAAAGAGTAACGCACAGCCATAGTAACGCGATTGCTCCAATATTTTTCGTTTCAGTCGTTGGACGGCTTCGCGATAGCGGTCGCCGCTGATGGACGGTTCCTGTACATATCCGAGACCGTCTCGATTTACCTTGGACTCTCACAGGTGAGTGTGTACAGCCTGCTGCCGCAGGATCGGGTTTCGGTCGAGGCGTCGTTGCAAGCGTGACTCGTTCGCGGGGATGTTGATGGAAGGTCGGTCCAATGCGGGAGGGCAGGGTGTAGGGGATGGACGGTAGAGGTGGTACCGGGACCGGGAGCAGAGATAGGCGACCGGTGAGCGGCGGGGAGCAGGTGAAATGAAGCGGAAGACATATAAGACACAAGCATGCACGCGAAGCTGGCACGTATGCGAGCCGGAA